TTTTTCATTTGAAAAAGTTGTAGAACAAAAAATACTACATTTTCTCTATTTTTATAGGTTCAACAAAAAATTCCTGTCAATTTTGGTCAAAAACCGAGAAAAAATTAAAACATTTGACGTTACAATAATGCGATAATAAATTTCCTATCGAATAATATTAGTTTTATTAATTTTAAGTTACAAATATATTTTTGCATTAACAAAATACTTAGTATTAGTAACATTTATATTCTATATTCATAAAAGAAATTAAAAACTTTAGGTTACAAAATTTTTCTATTTACAATAAATAATTAGTTAATCAATAGTATTTTTTAAAATAAATATTGCAAAGTATTGAAGTTGCTATGGAATTAATTGATTAACCTAGTATTAAACAAAATCAAAATCCCAGAACTTTCCAATTACGCGGGCGGGTTGGCAAAATTTTCAGGGCTTCAGTCCCGGCTTAGACCAAGAACCGGGACTAAAGGGTGGGCGGCAAATTCGGTGCCCGCCAAAAAAATACCTTTAGTCCCGGCTGGTAACACCAGCCGAGACTAAAGGACATTTAGTCCCGGCTGGTAAGACCAACCGGGACTAAAGGGTTGGACCTTTAGTCCCGGTTGGTATTACTACGGGATTAATTCCTTTAGTCCCGGCTAGTGTTACGGATCGGGACTAAAGGGTCGCATGGCTATATATATCGAACGAGCGTATTGCATTTCATCTTCGATCTCGCCTCCGTCGCTCAGCCCCGCCTGGCCGCGCCATCCGCCGTCGTCGAGCTCGTCTCTGCCGCGTCGCCGTCGTCGTCTACCCCGCCTCGGGCAGCGCCATTCTCCGAGCCCGTGATCGCCGTGAGATCCGTCTCCGCCGCCAAGACCTGATTCCACCCTCCGTCGCCGACGCTTCCCAGGCGCACGCCAGACGTCTGACCTCGTCGAACTCGATATGATCACGCTTTGCTCTCGATCGGCCATGTTTTTTAGATTTTTTTTACAAAGTCTCGGTTTGTATGTTAGATTAAAATAAGTACATGTAGTTTATTGTTAGTTTTTAGTTATTTTTAGATAATTTTTGATATATTAGATTTAAAATGTAAAATTTAATTAGTATTTTATTTAGATAGTTTTTTAGATAGTTTTTATTATAGTTTTTGATATATGTAAAATGTATTATCTATTACTAGTTTATCTAATTTCATGTTAGATTTATTTAATTGGATTTAGTAATTATATATTCTATCTCTCTATATATATTATATATCTAGAGAGAGATTCTATATGTATACATATGTACTTAATTATTTCTATATGTATATATACATGTACTTATTTTCATGTGTTGAGAGAGAGAGAAAATTGTATCTAGAGAGACATTCTATGTGTATCACATGCATATCTAGAGATATAGACATATGCACTTATTTCTATGTGTTGAGAGAGAGAGAAAATATATTGTATCATTCTATGTGTATATATATACATGTACTTATTTCCATGTTGATGAAATATTCTATGTAGTTGAAATACCAGTAAGTTGTACTATATACACTTCCCCACGTGTTTAATTACTATATCGTACTTCAATTTACGTGTGAGATGATGAGAATAATCTTCTTCTCGTACAGTGGTGTTTGCGGCAGGAACCAGGTAATAACTTGTGTGGATACTACGTTTGTGAATTTATCACTGCGCACATAAGAAGAACTCCTGAAGATGTCCTCAGAGTACGTATATATCAATTTTTATTTATTTTTAAATGAATATATATACATATATGTGTATTAATACTTTTCCTTTTATTTCAAATGCAAGACTGAATGGTTGAAACGAAGGGTCATGCAAAAAGACCATCTGAAAGCAGTTCAAGAGTCAATAGCAGGATATCTTCTAGAAAAAGTGCTAAATCCCAACGGCGAGTTCTACTTTGATCCTAAGGAATAAATGATGTAAATTAAATATTTATTGATATCGTTATTTTCGAGAACAAGATTATGAAAGTGTTGTATATATACATATATATATATATCTATAATATATATAGTTTCATACTTTATTCGAATATAATAATGCTCAAGATGAGAATTAGATGTAATTATACGCATGCGTGTATTTATATTAGCAGCGTAGAATACGTACATAAAAACATATTATATATTAAACAAATACGTGTAACTGAACTGAAAACAAATTAAACAAAAAAAAAGAAAAAGAAAAGGAACCTTTAGTCCCGGTTGGGGTTACCAACCGGGACTAAAGGGTGCGCCAGGTTTGCTCGGCTGGATGGCCTTTAGTCTCGGTTGGTGTACCAACCGGGACTAAAGGTCCCTCTTTAGTCCCGGCTCGATGATCCAGGACTGAAGGTTCCACCTTTAGTCCCGGGATCGTTGTCCCGGCACGGTAACCGGGACTAAAGGCTGTTACCGCCCGGGACAACAAGTCCATTCTGTAGTAGTGTAGGTTAATTGATAGAACCGGCTCAAGGTTGCAAAACTCTTTGTGGGTTGGGAAGGTAAGACACACCGGAAAAACCTAAGGTATGTAGTTAGTATATGGTTTTTCTACTCAAGTTCACATACAAACCTGGAATTAAGGTCCCATTTGGCCGGGCTCCTTCAGGCTCCGGCTCCGTGATATAGTACTAGAGAAAAATGGTACAAATCATGGTTTTTTCTGGCTCCACGTTTAGTTTGTGTGGAGAGAGAAAAATGGTTTCTTGGAGGGGGCTGACAACATCGCAACCACTCCCTGACTTATTAACGTTGGCGCAGTCTGGCGCCTGACCACCAGGGGCTATCTGCCGCTGTGCCACGTCCCCTCAGTTTGCCTTCTCGAGGCTTCCTTGGTGCTCAAGGAGCCTCACCAGCCCATAAGGGCCAACAAACGGGCCCAGAGCCCTCTACCCTTGGAGCTTGGGGAGTCCCTTGTCCTCATGCGTCACGCTCGTTGCATGACCCTGCCGATGGAGTGAGCTACAGCGGTTGTGACCATTTAAACGAGCAAACGGTGCAGCATCTTTGTGCTTGTCTGGGTCAGGGTGCCTGACAGATTCCTAAGCCGGCTTCTGGTCGTGGCTCGGGATATCGGTTGCCACCTGGGCGGTTGCCGGGACCTACAGAGCCTACGTCGTTTGGTAGCCTGGGGCTATGGCCGAGCCCCCAAGCCCCGAGCGACAGCTGAGGGCGTGCTCGGGCTCACCCTGACTCCGGCGGAGCGTATGGGCGAGCGTACCCGATGGGTATGGCCCCCCGAGCCCCTGAGCGATTCGTAGGATCTGTCGGGGGATCTGCCAATCTACTATCCCTTTTTCGGGGACTTAACATACTCCTATGTTAGACTCGTCACTATGCAAAGAGAAAAAACTATGAATTGGGATGGAAAACTATACATAGTATTTGGGAACTATAGTTGATCATAAAAGCATAAAGATTATACAGTATCTATCTTGTAATTGTGTTAGAAATCGAGCAAAAACAAATGAGATATTCAATTTGGATTAATTGTGGGTCCTAATTATGTCTGCTAAGATTCGAGACGGTATAGGAGCACAAGTTGATGAACTAATTTAGCAGAATCGGTACCTATAAAGAAATAATTACTGTTATGTTATCAATGTGATCCAATTTCATTCATATTATTTATGTTTACTTATCTTTTTGGTAACCTCTTTCTATTTGTCTTCTCTATAGGTCTTGACTCAGTGTGTCTTTTGTTTGAGACGAATTGTAACTTAATATATACAACAAAAGATTTGGAAAGCCTGCATCCCAGGAGATAAATTACCCTCCTGTTGCTAGCTAGGCCAGAGCTAGCTTCATGTGCCTATGTAAGCTGACCAGCGAATTGCGCAAAAATTTTGCAACTTGGAGTTCTTATTAGCGCGTGTTTAGTTGCTAGCCAAAATTCAAAAAAGTGCTACAGTACTTATCACATCGAATCTTGCGATACGTGCATGGAGCATTAAATAAAGACGAAAAAAACTAATTGCACAGTTTGGTTGGAAATTGCGAGACGAACGTTTTAAGTCTAATTAGTCCATGATTGAACACTATTTGCCAAATAAAAACGAACGTGCTACAATAGCCCAAATTTCCAAATTCAGGGAACTAAACACGCTCTTGGTAAATTAGTACTCACTCGCTACGTGCCATGGGAGTTGGAACAAATGAGTTGGAAGGGAATCTTGTCCTTTAGTATACTTCTTAGGACCAAATGAGTTGGAACAGGCCAGGCGTAGGGCTGCTAGCCTCGTCGGAACAGGACAAGCTTATTTACACTCGACTCGAGGGTGGATAAGCTTTATTTGTGAGGCTCCATATTCCATCTTACTGTTATTAATTGGAGGTCTTGACAGAGGCTTCATGTTAATCCTCAACAGATACGTTAGAAAATAAATACTATAAATTCTCACATTAATCATAAACACCTGGCCATCGAATCAATGACTCTAGCCATCTATAACCATTGATCTATTTTTTTCTACAAAATTACCCACGTGCCATTATAGATAAAAAATAATTTTTCAGAAGGAAAAAACTTTCACCGTTTGGAGAGAATCTCAATTATTCACTACTAGAATCTTGCTTTTTCTGTGTGTGCAAAAACACACAGAAAAAATCGATTAAATCTGTGGGTTCCGAAACAATTTTTCTATGGGTCTCACGCGCACAGAAAAATTGTGTTCGTCCAGATTAAAACTAATTTTTCTGTGTGTTAATCCACACAGAAAAAAGAAATAAACGCACAGAAAAACACATGTTTTTTTCTGTAGGTCTAGGTGAACTCACAGAAAAATTCATTTCGCCCAGATTAAAAAATATATTTCTATGTAGCCAGCCTCACAAGAAAAAAGAGTTAAACATACAAAAAAATTATTTTAAAACAGTAGCAATAGCATATTAAAATATATATTTTCCATACAGTAATTTCTGTGCATGACCAACAAGGTTTCATTCAAATAATATCAAGCAAAGAGTTCCCAGCAGGGTTTCATACAGTAGCAACAGCACCATGGGATCAGGATTCCCAGCAGCAAGAGTTATGGGGCTCCAGTTCATCGTGCCATAGGGGTAGCTTGTCGCCAGGATAAAAGTTCCTCTTCACGCAATCGGCATTTATCTGCAGTGCAACCAAATTGAGTTTATTTTGAACTAAAAAAAGGTTTAAGCCAAGAGAACACAAGCATAGGAAATGGCAGTAAGAGATAAGTTTAGGCAAAACACAAACACAGATTGCAGGTCACTGCATTCTTGCAGACTGAACATAATTTTTTTACAAGGTAAACCTCAAGAAAATAAAAACTGAGCAAATAGATAGAATTCACTGAGTGGATGTGGTAAGCAAGTGAATGAATCAAGTAACAGAAGAGTAAACTGCACGTAGTCTAGCAGCATTGAGATAAGGCGCATTCCAATTGATCTTTTACCTTTGTTCTAATTCATTTTGGTACAATCATTTTTTTTGAAACTACAATCTATTTTATTAATTGATAGAAGAATGTACAGCACCACACAAGAAGTTAAATGATCAAAAGTTACGATTTTTAGTTACAGCTGATTGAGTTTCACTCTGAAAGCTATCAAAAGCATCATGCTAGATATAAGTGCCAAAACCAACATAAGACAATCCATGACACCCAACTAGTTCAGGTGATTGCTACATTTCAGTTTTTAGAGGGAACTGAGCATGAAAATTTGCACAAAAATAGAGAGAACTTACAGTAACTGTATGGATAACCCCTCCACTAGCACCATCACGGGCCATAGCAAGGGAAACTACCTTCACCACAAATTTCTGTATATATGAACAATAGAAACATATTAGGAACATTGAGGCTAGTTGTACTCTATTCGCTTTACACAATTATAATAGCCTTCGGTCATACTACTACATTAGAGAGTATCTCAATTCCAGGATCTAAGTAAGAAGGAACTTGGTGACATACCTCTGCCTCTTCCTGGCTCATTCCCTCTTTCCATTCATGATCAAGAAGGGCATAAAGGTAACTGGAACCTGAACCTGCAATTCAGAGATAACATAACAAGTGTCAGAAACAATATTTCTCAAGCAAAGCAAGTTTTTTTCATAACAAGATTTAGAGTATGAACACTCAGATATCATGTACAACTCAAACAGTAAGTGATTTAATTACTAGATCACTAGCCATAGCACAAAAGGTATGTCACAGCAAAGAGAATAATGGAAGTAGCATTGAAATACTGACTTGGAAGAAGGGAACAATACAACTTTATGGGCAAAATTATACCTCCAACTGCAAATGGTTGCTTCAAGATCATTCCACCAAGAGGGACCGAGAAAATTTGGCCTCCCTTATACTTATCCCATCCTCCAACAATCATACCAGCTTGCAATATGTTCTGGATGTTAATAACAAACATTCATTTTGTAGTTCAACAAGAGTTTAACATCAAATTCCGACACCAGGTGCTTATCAATGAGGAAAGTAAAAGAATGTTTTAACAGTCTGTGCTGGAATGCTATGGAACATACCTTGTTCTGATAAGCTAGCAACCTAATCAAGTTGGCTGCAACTTTAACAATAGCTGGTTGTCCAAGCTGGATTCTGCACAGAAGGGTAACTTTAGCATCAGCTACCTTGCATGTCAAATATCTCAAGTAATTGTATACCATCATATTTATCATATTTAAGTATCATTCAATATATTCATTTATCAAATGAGTGATTAATGTTAGGTTGTGTATGAAGAACAAACTTACGTGTGTTGGTGGAGGAAACAACGTACATAGTCCGAAATGACTTGTGTATCAGATTCTTGGATAAAAAACACACGGAAGGTATCAAAGGGTGAGCCGGCGTTAGAAATCATTGTTGAAAAAGATGATGCTATAAGCAATGGTGATGCCTAGAAGACAACAATTGATGCCTGCTTACCTATACTTGACCTCATTGACACACGGAGGTCTATTCCATATGGCATTCAGCAAGTGAGGGAACTTATTGGCATCTCATGTGCCTTCAATCAAGTTGTGTAGGTTTGTCAACCAAGCATGTTTTAATATTAATGGTTAAGTCAGCAGTTTTGACTGCAGCAACACCACAGGGACATTTATTTCTCACCCAAGGACTTCTAGGGATTGGTAGATCTTGCCTTGTTTAGGATCAATGTCTATTCTAGTTTGATTGGGTTAATTAGATATTCAGAGGTGTTGTATAATACTTAAGTTGGAGAGCAAAATATTCAGAAAGGCAGCTCATGGGAAAATGGCACAACAATGAACTCAAGTTGGGAACAAAATGCTAGTGCTGTGAATGATCCTGGTGACTAGGGAGGCTGGGGTAGTGGAGTTGGAGCTGCTGCAAAGCCAGCAGATCAAGATAATTCATGGGAAGTGCATGCTAAGGTGTCGGACAATTCCACTGATTGGGGAGGCTAGAGTAGTGGAGGTGGAGCGGCTGCAAAGCCAGCAGATCAAGATAATTCATGGGAAGTGCATGCTAAGGTGTAGGACAATTCCACTGATTGGGGAGGCTTTGCTTGGAATGCTGGAGATGGAATTGGAAGATCAAATGCCAAGTCTAATGCAGGATCCAGTTGGGGTGAGAAAGATAAGATGGAGTCTGATGAGCATCTGAAAGTCCCAAAAGAATCAGACACATGGAGTAATCTGCCGCAGAAGACTCCTGGGGTAATCTGGCTGCAACACCAGTGGGCAATTCAGATGCTACCAACTCAAGATAGTGTCTGATAGCAACTACCAACTCAAGATAGAGCTATTCACTTAAATCATTTGGGTCATCTTATATTGGCAAATTACCTGAATGCCTAGTATGTCTGGCTGGGTTCGCCAATACCATCTTTGTTCACTACAATCACATAGTGTGCTCTATCTGTTGCCTATAGATTGTTGACTACAAAAATAATTTAATATTGCACCTAGTAGGCACTTAAAATAGAGAAGACAAAACAACATGAACATCAACTAAGAGCAAAAATGAAGTGCACAGAGTAATCTTACATGTCACTTTCATCTTCCTTAAGCATAGCAGGGTATGTCTATTTTTTTATCAACAATGGCATACAAAAAAAAAGGACTAACATCAAGGCAGGTGCTCTGGTAAAAAAAGTGTATTAGTCAAATACTGAAAATAGGATAGTACAGATTTTTCAACATGTATTGCTCTAGTAAAAAAATCAGTACTAGTTATATTAACAAAATTCAATCCACATCCTACAGCATACACATGGGATTAGATCAGATCTGTTATGAATACACATAACCAAATAGCTTAAATTAGGGTTCATTCTCAAATTTGCACAAAAGGGAAGAGAAGGAACATGCATATCTGGCTTGTGTTGTGGGTGCTTGTCGTTGGCAAAGGGCTCACCTCGGCCACTGGAAGGAGGCTGCACTCGGAGCTGCAACTGCCCTGATGTGGTTGCGCTTGGAGCTGCAGATCTGGACGTCGGGCTGAGAAGGGGCTCCAGATCCAGCATGCTCAGGAGGGCCTGCACACCGTGAGGGTTGTGCTCTGGAGGGGCGGCGCACCGTGAGGGACGCGCCCAGGAGGACCGTGTCCGAGAGGGGCGGTGCGCTGGGGGGAGGCGCCCAGAGAGCCACGCCTGGGAAGGGCCGCGCGCTAAGAGGGCCACGCCTGGGATAGGAACGGCGCGCCAGAGGGCCGCACCCGCGCGTCGGCCGCGCGATGAGAGGGCTGCGTCCGGGCGTCGGGAGGGGAAGCAGCAGAGCTGGGGCGACGAGAAGAGAGCTGGCGGCGGATTGGTGGAGGAGGGTTGTGGGGGTGAATGTGGAAGGATAAGAGGCTTCAGTGGGGTTGCAGGGATTTAAGTTTAGGATTATTTTTCTGTGCGTATGTAATTTTAATCTGTGGGTAATATAGAAACCTACAGAATAATTGATATTTTTCTGTGTGTGTGTGCATTGTTTTTCTGTGCGTTTTAAAAATACTCACAGAATAATTGCATTTTTTTGTGTGTACTCTCACGCACAGAAAAATGATATAATTACTCTGTGGGTTTTCGTATTTTTCTGTCGGTATATTTTGGAACTGACAGAAAAATTACAATTTTTCTGTGTGTGCCGAAAAAAACGCACAGAAAAATTCATCACCCACAGAAATATTCGAGTTTGCAGTGATTGGTCGTACGTGATAATTGACGATCTATTTTGTTTACCACCTGCCATTATAGATAAAAAGTAATTTTTCGGAAGGAAAAACTTTTACCGTTTGGAGAGACTCTAGATTGGTTGTACAAGGAGACCCATTATCAAAATATTATATCTGTTGTACGACGTTAAGAATTAGTGAACAAAATATCAGTACTAATAGAACAAAATATCTGTATTATTAAAATATCATTTTTCCGATGTTCATAATTAGTTAATAAAATATCAGATGAGTCTTACTGATCAGATTCAAATGATAATTTACTAATAAAATACAATATCTGTAGTACCCATCACGTCCCGTCAGTTAATCTTTTAATAAAAAATCTGATAGAAGGTTAATATGTTAATACAAAAAAAACAGAGGCAATCTGTCGACGCTAACAAACAAGATACGTGCAATGCGTGCTGCAGGACTGTTTTATTATATTATATACAAAGAGGAGTTAATTTTTCTCTACCACGCAAAACTAAAATTAATACTTTAAATTTAAATCTAAATTATGTACTTCTGCCATTTGTAAATAATAATTTAAAATAACCCAAAAATTTGTATCTAAATTACCGACATTTATCATTATGAAAGATAATGCAAAGTATCCCTTAAGTTTGTATCCAAATTACCCACATATGTTACTAGCATAGATAATATAAATTAAAACGTTTGATTCTCTAAATTATCAACCTTCTCTATTATAATAAATAAATAAATAAATATATCTCTAAATCTACATGTAAATACTAATATAAGGTATTTTGATAAATAACTTAATAACAATTGTTATTTAAAAATTTACTAAATTCAACTAAAATATATTGTCATATCAATATTGATAATATGTTTTATAAAATAAAAAATAAGTCTATATCTACATGTAAATACTAATATAGTTAAGCTATTACGACAAATAAATCAATAACCATTGTTGTTTAAATAAGTTTACTATACATTGAATAAAACATTATTCCATATCAATACTAACAATCTAATTTTAAACTTGCTATGTTTTTGTAAAGCAATAGTACTACACAACAATTAATTCTATCATAAGGTAAATTTAACATCTTGATTGTTTTAGTTCCAAGATGTAATGACCTTCTATGCATTGCCTACAATTTACATTGTTTTTTAAATAAAATAAAATAGATATTATGATAACACGCTGATAAATAACAGATTAACCACCTGCTAACCGATATTAAAAAACCAATGTATTCATCATGAGAACATGCAATTAATAAACATGACCTAACATCTCATAAAAATCTCTAAAACAAACTGCCTCCAGCCAAAAAATTATGTCAAATCTATATTTATAACTAACTGATCTCATGCCAAACCTAGGAAGTCATCAACACTAACGAGATGATTATGAAAGAAGCGGCACAACATCTAACCCAGATGGAAACATAATTATGTTACCACCAACATTTCAAGGGTGCAATAAATGCATATCAAATAATTTCAAAGATGCAAAAGCAATGTGTTAAGGAATTCAAAACAGCGACTTAATTACTTTGGCGAAATCCATTCATGAAGCAAAAAATGAGAAACCAACAAATGACAAGCCATACATCAATGGTATGGACCTACAAATTAACCTCAAAATTTCCATCAGACAAATCAATGAAAGACTACAATTTACGAAAACAATTGAAGGTACACATCTAAATATCCAATACTCAATCATGTTATTAATTTTTTATTTGTAGCTGAACTAACCTTTTAATATTATTATCCACACAGTTCAATTCCAACAGAGGACAGTCCAACACGCCCATATACTACATAAAGTCAGCCATTATGGGACACAAAAAAAAATGAAGAAAAAGAAAACACCCAACTGTGGAATCAATCTACCACAACGATCTCTCTCAATCATGCCAATGCCAATTCTATACATGCGTGTAACTCCGGATTCAAATAAAAGTTATTTGTATGAATTAATTTTTTATTAGTACATATTAAATAAGAATTTATATTGCTTGAGTGTCTTAAAGTTATCGGGTGCGGGAGCACGGGTTGATAGACTACAATTAATTTACAGCTGGGCTCAGTAATGCATACTCCCTCTGTCCCAAATTAACTGTTGTTTTTTGTTTCTGTGCCGCAAGTTTGACTCGATTTATCAAAAATGCGTACAATATTTGTATCTCCAAATAAATTTATTAAAAAACTAGATTCAAAGATCTTTCTAATGATATTAATTATGTATCATAAATATTAATATTTTTAATATATTTTGTCAAAGATATTTCTCGGAAAGCGAAAGCGACGAATATTTTGGGACGGAGGGAATACTGAAGTACGTCGATGCTGTACGTACGCGTGTGGAGTTCTTATCCAAATTAACCAATTATACATATTAATTGGCCAATGGTCTTGGGCAAATGGATATCGTACATACTCCTAGGTAAATTTTGAGAGGGTGTAGAATAGGGAATGCATGGGAAATGTGGCAAATGAGCCGGATATATATAGTGTAAGATGATGATGGGGACGGAGGGAATACTGAAGTACTTGTAAGATGATGATGGGGACGTCCAAACCGCTGCTGCAAATAATGAATTGAAGGGTTGCTTACTACTACTCCGTAT